AGAAAAACTTTTTTTATTTGTTATGATGGAACAAACCCAAGACCAAAAATCGATTGAAAGAAATAGAGGAAATCAAGAAGAAAATGCTTATGTTTATAGCCTACATCTACAGTCGACGAAAGAGAAACAGAAATTCACTATAAAAACGATAATGAAAAATAAAATATTTCGTACATAAATATTAGATTTTAATCACAGAAACCCTAAATCCCATTACAAATGTGCTCTCACTCACATACTCAATATAGATCAGGACATAAAATGAGCCTCAAGAAATATTTTTATCCAATTTCTTGATTTAATTCATTCCCCTTCATTATCCAAAATGAGCTATTGAGTCCTGGACTCTCTAAGGGATTGGGTTTTTCAGTGATTGCACGCTTTGATTCTTGTGCATTATCCTCTCTTGTGTTACAACTCCAATATCCTTTATAATTCTAGCTTCTTCTGTGCATCAAGATAATGTTTTTAAATTCGATGAAGTTTCTTGGTACAGGGTTACGATGTTGACTACTCAACATCAAACAATGATAATCAATGTCATCTACATTTAAATAGAAGAAGAGGGATTGGTTTTTTTTTTCTTTTGGTTGAAAATTTTTACTTTCTATTGTTTATATAATTCGGATTAGTGGGTCATATGGGTCAGTTGGGGTGGGTCAGGGTCAGGGTGGGTGTATTGATTTTCAACCCACACCTAACCCAAACGAACGTACCGATTTCCACCCCAGACAAGGGGTTATATTTATCTCACTCAGAACTCACATGGACCCCGTTTTTTCTTTGAGTCCTTTTCCTTTTTAAGGCAAAAGCAAATTAATTAGTTGATTTTGATTGATATATTACTGTTATATGTAAGGTTCAAAATATCGATTAGCCCAATATGTTGGTAGAGGTGTATCGGGTCATATCAGTATTTTTTTTTTTTCAAGACCAGTTTAAAGGGGTCAGTTCAATGCTCCTCTACCCCCTCAATCAGTTAGAACCTTGATACATCCCTTGTAAAGACATATCGGAGAGTTCCCAAAATGATACGTATTAATTAATATGGGTCGATACATATCGATACTGTGAACCTTGCTTATATGATTAATCATTTTATTTCACCCCCAGCCTGAGAGTTAGAGTGAATGTGAGCCATATATATATATATAATCAAATTCAGCTAATCTTTTCTCAAAATATAAAGGGACATGTTAATCAGTCAGGTAACCAACGTTAAATCCGCCATGCTCAGACTAGCAAGGACAAATCATACAAAAAGTGAAATTTTGCATCAGTTAGGAATGCCAATAATACCTACAAACAAACAAATGCAAAATTGAAACCGGAAACAAGATTTGTACCTTGTTGAGATTTACGCTGAAACCGAACTCGGCTTTAGTTATACTAACTATTATAGCATAAAATAGTCATCCTTCGTTTGTCGGTTTTTCAATGAGGTTAAGTTGGTCAACCGGATAATTGACCAACTTTTCTAGGTTCTCATGCCGCTATAAACAAACAATGTCATAATCTCCTGACCACTCCACCATCGGTCCTTTGTTTAAACTATGATGTTATCTATTGAGAAGAAAAAAATGGCTGAAAATATGAATATTGTTTTGCCATGTTATAAAAAGCTACAGGTGTCAGTATGGTTAAATTTTGAGTGTCTGGACAGAGACTTGATGAGTAGGAACATTGAAGGATCGACATCATTCAACAAACAAATTAATTAAAGAGAAAAGAGGAAGAATGGTTAAATTTGCATTTTTCTTGCAAAATTGCATGAGTCCAGATTTGTTGAATCACGCCAAGTCATCTTTTCTCGGGTTAGTATCAAAATGGCAATTTTAAGATGCGTGTCAAGATAATCATTCTTTTTTAAGTATAATATGAATGAAATATCAGTAGTATTGATTTAAAGCCAAAATTACTAAAAATAATGCATAAACCAATAAAAAAACATATTTTAATAGTTTACGTTAAGTGCAAAGTATCTGGATATGCTTGGAAAATGATAGAAGAACTGATACACACAAGCATGCACACTCACCAAAAGAATTTTAAAATTTTATGTTATATTTATATTAATTTATTATATATAAAAGTTGAAAAGTAATTTTTTTTTGTAATTTAAAATTTTAAAATAAAGCCGGATTAAATCCAAATACTAACTTCGAATCTGAGGGCTTCAAATCCAATCAGATTTTAGATCGGCTTCATGTGCATGTTTACAATTATTGGATCAGATTTGGAGTTTGTTGAATCCAATCCGAATGCAAACCCTTTACAGCCCTAATATCACCATCGATTTGCAGTGGTTGAGACTCCAAGAACAAGAAGCCATGTTGGGCCAGAATCAGATGTGTGGTGCACTCTTGCTCTATGACATGCATGGCTCCTCTACCCAACAATTCTTCAACCACTTCACAACTCCATGATCCAGTCACTCTTCAACAACCAGCAACTCTTCACTACTGCAGGCTCCTTCCAACAATTTAAGATCAGAGAGGAACCACAAGTACAGGTGCAAGTAGGTTTTTTCTTGTGTTCTACTCATGCAGTGGGAAAATTGCAATCGGCAGTTTGAAAAATCTTGGGCTCCATACTGACCATGCATTGCTTGGTCCGATTAACTCCCACATCCATGAACTGTCTACGCCAGCCAAAAATCAGATCAACAACTTTGAAGCATCTTTTTGACAGGTGGCAAGTTAAGGGGCTCTTACGAATGTGGAAATGCTGTCCATGAAAGACATGGCAAATTGGCAATGAGGCTTGGCTTGCTAGGCGAGATATATTTGTTATTGGCTGTCCATTGATTTTTCAAAAGATGAATGCGTGAATACATACACATCCAGCTGAGTCGACAAACATACAAAATAGAAGAGTCTAATCTTCTTGCAATTCTGGATAAATTATTAGGAGCGGATGAGCTGAAGACAAAAACATACACATCCAGCTGTGATTGGTTGTTCAGCTGGGTGTGTATGATTTTGTCTTCAGCTCATCCGAACTCAGTTATTAGGAGTTGGACGTACCTGTCCTTGTCGCGCTGGCTGCTTGCTTTACGTAGATGAAGGGAAAGCCTTACGTGAAGTTTATTACACGACCTTGGTCCTGGGCCAGTCATATTAATATTATACCTTCTTTCGTCAACAACAACAACCGTATTTATTGCTGTTTCTTAAATCATCGAAGCTCTCACCAAACGCTTGTATTTCGATCACCGTTTCAAAAACCATTCCTGTAATGACTGGTAAATTTGGTAGAAAAACTCTACTTAATTAATTAATTATTATGAAATATGCAAGAAAAAAAAATGGACAATACTATCTAATTCAGGACTTGAATTCATTTCCCTTGCCACATTGATAACATCTTCCTTAAATTTAACATACATTCCTGATGTGCGGTTAGATGTTATTCTCTCAAGGTATTTATACAAATTTTCTTTCAGGAGATCTGGGCTTGTGGTTGAGTAGCATCCTCCAGAAACTGCAAGCTCTCAATGGTATGGCCAATGGATGGTGGACCTCACCTGCACCCTGCTCTGTCCCTACCCGAGTCCTGAGTCCAAATCCCCCTCGGATGCGTACTAGGTAATGTAATGCCAAGAAAAAGGAGAATTGCCACTTTGTGAAAAACTTTTTATATATGTTTCGCCTAATTTTCAAACTAATTAGGTCATTCTTCCTCCTCAACATCACAGACTTCATGAAAAACATATAAAAACATCATAGCGCAAGCATTATCAAATTAAACTAGATAGCTGATCAAAGATACTTTTTCTCATGGTTCAAAGTATCAATATATTACTAAGATTAAAAACTAAGTAATCTTTGAGAATTGACCCGAGATATGACATGCACGCACGATACTTTGAACCTTTGGGGCATGATATCAACATTTTGAACCTAGTTTGGATACAATACGTTGCTCGCCATGTTCATCCAACCACACATTAGAAACATCTCTTGTACTTTATATCACACCAATATTCCTGATGTGTGGCTGGATGAACCTCACCAGCAATGTATTATGGTCAGCAGATCCAGACTCCTTTGAACCTTTCTTTCAATTAGTAAACAGTAGATACATCATACATGCCTTAGAGTTGGAGGTACTTCAGGCAATCCCCGTCAGGCCGTCGCCTTGCTTCATTAGAAACTCGGAATAATAATTTGACCTACTTATTAGTTATTGCTGACTTGACTGCTCACAGACAGGTGAAACACTTTTTGAAGATATGGCTTTACCTAACAGGAATATAATCAGATTCCTTGCTGCTAAACTCCACCATTTCATTCAGAAGCCTCCCAACAAACTCTGCAAACCATATATCTTGTTTAATCTCCTCCACCAAACCAACAACTGAGTCAGGGCCATAGGTTAATGAGATGGACATGAGTCATGACGATGGGGTCCATTGTGCATCCAGTCATCCACCTTCATACTCCTATTAGGCAAAGACGCAATGCAGGTCAAGTTACAGCTTACCTGTTACCTGGCTACCTGATCCCTCCCTGAAAAGCAGTATCCTCAACCCTAACCTAACATGTCCAAAAGGTTAATTAACCCAACACAATCAGACCGGTTATGACCAAAACCGAGCTGGGCTGGATTCAGATCAAACGATGTTGGTTATCATGGTATATAAATAGGTATAAAAAGTTTTGATCTAAGAAAGTTTGGAGACCATGATCCAAGGATGGTGACTTCAAAGTATTGATAAAAGACAGGTACAGTAGACTCCAATCCAATGTTTTAGATGTCTCAATGAACCAGTCCGAGTGTTCAATGTGAGACAGCATTTCATCAAGTTTTCTGTTTGACCAATAACTCCTCCAAATGCAAAAACAAACCTGACTCTAAATTGATTGAGAACGGAATAGACTGCATTTCATCAATTTGTTCCTCTCTCTCTCTCTCTCTCTCTCTCTCCGACACACATAAATGAGCATACAAGAAATGAACGAATATACAAAGAGGGCAAAATAAATTAATTCAGTACATGAAGAAAACACACTTTCATATTAATGCCTCCAACATCATTCAAAGTATATGGTAACGGTACAAACAGAATGACCCTTGACCCAAATAGTTTTCAAAAGCAAGGGTTATTTTGAAGGCTTTCAAAGCAACCTGATAGCAAATCCAATTTCCAACATTCATCTTACAAACAAGTATCTTTTTCTTTTCTACTCTTTTTAACAACAGAATTTTTTTCCTCCTTGCTTGTATTTATATACAAAGAAATGAATAGAAAACCCCCCAAAAATGCATACTTAAAACAGAATAGAAAAACGGATACAAGATCAAGAAATAATATCAACTGGAGAAAATAGAGTAGCTAGACCTTGATCCACAGTCATTTGGATCGAATCATAAACCATTAAATCCCTTTTTCGCTCAGACTTGTATGTGCCCTCTCCTCTGGCCAGGACTTCCCCATCTGAGTCTATGATGCCACCTTTTGTTGGGCAATCAGAATGCTGACCTGGCTCCAAAACAAATGCTTTCACCTGTAGTTTTTGCAAGAAATGGGAAAATGCTAAGAATAACACCACCACCACCACCACCACCACCAACAACAACAACAACAACAACAATAATAATAATAATAATAGTATAAGTAATGGGAAAGAAACAAAAGTATTAACACAATGTACGACCTTGAGAAGATCTTTCAAGATCAAGAACAGTATCAGAAAATAAGAGATCCAATCACAAGTAGAAATTTGTCTTGGATGGAGTTTCAGGGTAATGGGCTTCAAGAATTACAGAGATATTGAAAGACCATGATTGAGAACAGTGATGAGGGATTTGCAAAATTCATATCAAAGTACTTGGATTGGGAATGCATCACCAAACTGAAGGCTATCCTTTTTTAATATTTTTGATAAGTAGAAGATATATTGGAGTAAATCAATAAAGGGCTAGACAGAGCTCAAGATGGACTTTTACAAGGAGTTCTTCAATATGCATGGTTTCTGTTAGTGTTCAGATTAGAGAGGAAGAAGAGAGGAGAAGAAGGTTGAGAGAAATGGGGTGGAAGTACACTCTCACAGCCCCTTATCTTATTATTTATAGTAGGGTTTTTAAAGGAGTACAAAGACAAATCTGTCCCTGATTAGTAGGCAGAAAAGAAAGAAAGAAAAAACATATTAGAACAATAGGAGCCCAAGCCCATTAAGCCCAAGAGAGAAACGTAAGAGATCACATGACATAAACAAAAAAGGCCGAAGCCCACAAACTAGGTCTCACAATATTCCCCCTCAAGCTGAGCATAGATATCTTTAATACGCAGCTTGCGTAACATTCCTATAAATCTTGTCTTGTCAAACCCCTTGGTAAGAACATCAACTAGTTGTCTTGTAGATGGCATCTATGGGATGCAAAGGTCCCCAGAAATAATTCTTTAGAGGCCCGGTTACATCTATCCCCAACTCCTTTAGAAGAATCTAAAGCCAAAGTAATTCAGCAACTCCGTGAGCCATAAGCCCTTCAGCCTTGGCACTTGATCTTGCTATAACCATTTCTTGCTCCTCCAAGTAACTAGATTACCACCTATGAAGGTACAATATCCAAATGTAGACCTTCTACCTCCACGAAAACCTGCCCAATCAGCATCAGTGTAGGCTTCCACTTCTATTTTGTCATATTTCTTAAACAGTAATCCCTTCCTGGGACATGTCTTCAAATAACTCAAGATCCTTTCCACTACCCTCATATGTGTAACTTGTGGAGCATGCATAAATTGGATGATCACATGAATTGCATATGCAATGTTAGGCCTTGTGAGGGATAAGTAAAGCAATTTACCAACTAATTTCTGATATCTCTATTTGCTAGGATACAATTCTCCATCATCTTCCTCCAACGCATGATTCTGCTTTATAGGAGTATCTGCTGGTCTAGCTCTAAGCTTCCCTATCTCCTTTATAAGATCCAATTCTTACTTCCTTTGGCAGATTTAGATTCCCTCTCTAGACCTAGCCACCTCTATTCCTAAGAAATATTTCAAAGGCCCCAAATCCTTGATTTCAAACTCCGAGGCTAAGAAGTCTTTCAACTTTCAAATCTCATTCAAATCATCTCCCGTAACAACCATATCATCAACATAAACAATCAATACTGTTAGTTTTCCTTCATTCTTAGAAAAATGTGTGATCAACACTATACTTGTACCCAACAACCTTCATTGCCTTGCATAATCTTTCAAACCAAGCCCTTGGAGATTGTTTGAGGCCATATAAAAGTCCTCCTTAGCTTGCATATTTTTCCTCTCATGTCATACCCTAGAGGAGGATCCATGTAGACTTCTTGTAGATGTCCATTTAAGAAAGCATTCTTGACATCTAATTGATGTAGTTCCCAGGAAAAATTTGCTGAAAGAGAAAGTAGCACTTGTATAGTATTCAATTTGGCAACTAGAGCAAATGTCTCCTTATAATCAATAGCTTCCTTTTGGGTGAATCTCTTTGCAACTAATCTGGCTTTATACATCTCGATAGAACCATTAGCCTTGTTTATGACTGTATACACCCACTTGCAGCCCGCAATAGATCCATTAGCTCCTAAGTGTTAACCTTCAATAAGGCTTTCATTTCCTCATCCATGGCTTTCTTCCATTTGGGATCAACAATAGCCTCTGAGTACCTAGAAGGGGCAAAAACAGAACACAAGGCAAAGACAAAAAAGTGATAGGTAGGAGACACATGAGAATATGAAACAAATTTATTTATAGGATGAAGAGTGCATTAACGAACAAGTTTTCACAAGGCAATAGGAAGATCTTAATCAGGATTAGAGGTAGTGGGAGCATCCATACCTTGGCCAAAATTTGAAGTTTCCGATTAGTTGTAGTCATTCGCTAGTAGGTCTTCTCTTTTTCTTCCTTCGATAAACACTTAGATATCTTTCATCATCAAGGTCAGGAGCAATTGCCCCGGTGCAAGTAGTACCATGAGGAGGATTTTCATCACTTGTATCTCCATTGGACAAGAAGGTTCGACATGAGGAGGGTCTAGAGAGAGAGAGAAACAGAGGGAGAAGTGGGAAGAGAGGAAGTAGGTGTTGAGACAAAAGGGTTACCCTCTGAGGAAGTCTCTTCCACTCCACTAGTCTCCCCATGAAGAGGATTCCAAGGAGGCTCAAAGAAAGATTGTGACTTACAAAAGATGACATCCTTGGTGATGAACCTCCTTCCAATAGCCGAATCAAGATATTTATATCCTTTTTGTGTAGGAGAATAACCCAAGAACATCCCACGAATTACTTTTGGATCCAACTTTTTCCTTTTAGGATCATTAACATGAATAAAACATACACAACTCTACCTTAGGAGGCAAAGAGAACACAACATGCTCTGGACGAAAGACATAAAAGGGGTTCACATCCCCAAAACCTTGGATGGCATTCGGTTGATGAGATAAGAAGCTATCAGAATAGCATGAGACCAAAACTCCATTGGGACCTTGCTTTGAAACATTAGAGCACGAGTGGTCTAAAGTAAATGTCTATTCTTCCTTTTTATAACTCCATTCTGTTGTGGTGTGTAAGTGCATGACGGTTAATGTAAGGTCCCTTCATCTTCAAAGAACACATTTAGAAAACTCTTGAAATATTCAGTTGCATTATCTGAACTGAACTGTTTAACTTTCTTTCCAAACTTTGTCTCAATCATCTTGCAAAAAACCATAACGATTCTAGGTATTCTTGTTCTTTCATCAAATAAATCCAAGTGCATCTTGTAAAATGATCAATAAAACTAATGAAATACCGATAGCCATCCATGGAAATAATGGAAAAAGGACACTAAACATCAAAATGAATTAAATCAAAAGGAGCATTGACTTYATTACTAGAACTTGGATAATTTKTCATACAATGTTTAGACATTTGACACACATCACAAAAAAGACTTTCAAATGACACATTTTCAAATAGTGGCTAGCATTCACGGGCTTGAGAACAACGGATGGAATCCTAGAATTCTGGCAAGGACAAGTGCTTTACCTTGGAAAGCCATCCATGACTTGTTACCAACTTTCTCCCCTCTGATAAAGTATAATTTAAACTCAAGCAGCCTCATAAAATTCTGGGAAAAAACCTGGTTGAGGAATTCCCCTCTGAAGGACCAATTTCCTTCCTTGTATGCTCTCTCTGACATAAAAATTGAGCTGATTTCATCCTTTCTTGTCCCTTTAAACTCAAACCCTGGGATTGAGTGGAATTTAGGTTTCGGAAGGGCTGTTAGGTATATAGAATTGGGTAACACCTTAACTCTTCTAGGTATTCTTGGAAATGGGTTCTTGGGCCCTACAAAGGAAGATACCATAATTTGGACTCCTCCCTCGGGCTCATTCTCTTGTGCATCATTCTTTAAAATCTTAAATCAACCACCCAGCCCCATTGGCTTATCCTTCCCTATTAAAGAGATTTAGTGGAAGCTAATTCCTCCTAGGGTTGGGAGTTTTTGTTGGGAAACTTTCCTAGAAAGGATCAACTTTGGTGATTTACTTAAACACTAGTGTATTCTCTACAAATCTGGTGGGAAAACTGATTATCACCTTTTAGTTTCTTGCCATTTTGCTAAAACTATTTGGGATTGGGTCTTCTCCCTTTTGGGGTGTAGGTAGAATCCCCCATTGAATGTGCAAAGTTTATTTTCATCCTCCTTTTTTAGGCGGCCTTTAAAAAGAGGAGGGATTATGTGGAGGTGCTTAAGGGTTGTTGTTTGTTGGTCCTTGTGGAAAGAGAGAAACTCAAGAATCTTCTTCGAAAAGGAGAAGAGCATTGAAAACATAATAGAGCTAATCCACATAAGGGTGGCACACTAGTTGAAATCCTTGGATTTTTTTCATAGGTTTTACTTTGGATGACCTATTGAGAAACTGGAAAGAGATCTCTAGCTTTGCCCATGTTAAAAAGGGTTTAAGTCCTTGGATTCCTCCCCCCACTAGATTTATAAAGTAGAACTTTGATGGAAATAGAAAAGGGAACCCAGGGCACTCTGGTATTGGGGGAGTGTTCAGGAATCAGGATGGGATTGTTTCAACCTTTTTCTTAGACCCAATTGGTGAAGGTGATTCCCTTAGGGCCGAGATTTTTGTGCCTTGGAAGGAATCCAAAGGGCAAAAGAAACGAATATAGGGAGGATTGTAGCTAAAGATGATTTGGAGGTGGAAGTAGGATGGTTAAAAGAAGACAAGACTATTTTGTGGAACTACAACAATGAAAAGAAAAAATTTAAGTGGCTGGCTAAGGACATGGAAATAAAGTACAATTTAGGGTTTTCATCAGCACGGGTTGGTTTCGGGTTGTGCAAATTCCTAAACCGATTATTCGGGTCGACTTCAGTTTTCACACAAGAAAACCGAAACCGAGCCGAACCGAACCGACTTAGTTCCTAGTTCAAACATGAAGTTCCAAAGCCCACTAGGCCACTAGTTTTTGAATGGTTGCAAGAAACTTTGGATTAGTGAATAGTGATTAATGAACAACTTTTGTGATTAACTTT